CTCCCCCCTCCCAGTTTTTTTTTTTTTTTTTTTTTTTTTTTACAGGGAATGGGAATGCATTGAAAGTATCAAGACGGCGCCAGGCAGCTCAGTGTTCGCAGACAGCTGTGGCGCGACGGAACTTAAGGAGGTTCTAGTGTCATCCGCGCCGACGGGGGAGGAGCCTGGCTCTGGCGAGGAGGGGACAGGATCACCAGCACAAGGAAACTGCAACCCAAACCCGCTCAGGACTTCACCGCCCCCCCCCCACCCCCGCCTCTCCCTGCCTTCTCTGGCAGGACCCCAGGCGCCGCGGAGGGCGGCCAGGGCGGAGGGGCGGCGGGGAGGGTGGGCGAGGCGCACCCGGGTTCGGGGCGGAGGGAGCGGGCAGGAGGGAATTCGCGCTCTGGCCCTTTAAATGTGGCTCCAGCTCCTGCCAATTCATTCCGGCTCGGTAGGTTATTCCGTGCCGAGGAAACCGGCCTGCCCCATTCATAAAGTTTATTTCTACAGGCGGCCTTTCTTTTTCAGACTTTTTAAATGAGCAAACATTTTTTGCATTCAACCCAGGGTATGGGGTAGTTTATTGATGTGGGGTCTCTGTGCAAGTAAAAGTGATCAGGAAAAAAAATGTAATGTCAAAGTACTTGGAGATGTGCCTCTCTCACCTAAGGGATTGAGAAATTGGGAAAAAAAAAAAAATCTGTCTTTGATTGAAATGTCGGTGATACTTTGGTGGTCGTGGTCAACATTCTCCCAGCCTCTTGCGTTAACAAGCCTCTCGAATGTTTCAGCTGTTGCAGCTGTCCTTTCCAGACCTAATATTTGTAATCAATGTGTGCTTTTTGACTTGAGTGACAATAGTGATGGATGAAAAGGAGAGGGGGCGAGAGGCTCTGTCTCCCCCAGCACAGAGAGAGAGGGTGGGGAGAAAGCGCTCGGGTCTTCACTCCGGTTACCCAACTTTTTCCCTTCTCCCCGCCCAGGGCCCTACTTACTCCCGCTCCCGGCGTTTTTCCCCAGGCCCCTCCTCCGACCACCACCCCGGCCGCCGGGCAGGACAGCGGCGTCCTCCCCCGGATCCCGCAGAACGCGGGCCTCGCCGGGTCCGACCCCGCAGCCCGGAGCGGAGGGAGCGGGTCCCAGAGACGGCCCCGCGAGGGGGGCGGGGCGCACGGGGCGTGGCCGGGAAGGGGCCAATCAGCGCGCGAGGCTGCGGCCGGGCCGCGATTGGTCGGCCCCGCGGGCTCCAACCTCCCCGGCCTCTCTCGGTGCTTTGAGCCACTGCATCCCCTAGCGGCGCTCAGGCTCCTGCAGCCGCCCGGCCCCAGAACGCGGCCCGAGTGTGCAAGTGACAGGCGGGAAGCGAAGGCTCATGTTCCACCCGTGGCTCACCCCAGGGCAATGTGTGCGAGGAGAGAGTGTGGGTTCTCCCGCAGGCTTTCCCACGGACGGTACTAAGGGCTTGATTTGGTGTTTTATTTGAAGGCATTATTCCCTCTTCGCTTCTCTGCCCCATAAAAATTCCCTACAAATACACACAAAAAAAAGTCGACATAGAAGAGACCGTCCCTAAAAGTAAGTTCTGGAGGATTCCTTTCGTGCGGTGAAGTAAAAACATCAATACTCAGCCTTACTTGGTGTGGGGTGTGTGTCCTGCTTTAATATACAATCCTCGCAGAAAGACTAGTAAATTTTATTTGGAAGAAATGGTGGAAACGTGGGTTCTCCCAACTTGGAATTGGAGTTTCTCTTGAGTCTCCGTCTTCCTAAATCTGATGTTCGTTAGAAACTAGGGTTGAGTTTCTAGATACGGAACAGGAAGAAAATCCCTAAATTAACCCCCCTCCCCCATGTTTCTCCTGAGCCCATTTAGTCCTTGTTTATTAGGGCGGCCCAGTAAAAGAGCATCGATTTTCCTTCATTCCGACCACGTCTCTCTAGGGCCAGTCAAGCGGCCAGCCTCTCCTGCTCACGGCGCTCTGCAAACCTTTTAATTATTTAGTTTCTAACATTCACCGGAAACCACTCCATAAACAAGGACAGACGAACGCATACACATTGTTGCTAAAATCCCCGAGATTAAGGATTGCAGCAGAGGCGAAAAAAATGAAAAGAGCATCTTTGCGAGTCGGTCTAAGACCAGGCAACACTAGCCGGACCCCAGTTCAAAGCCACGCGGAAAATCCCAAACGTCGCTCTTTGGTCCTCTACGCCAAGACCTGAAAGCCCGGGAAATAAAAGGGACCCATCCTCGGAGAGAGAAACTGCTGACACCAGGACTTGAAAATGTTAACTCCCGAGACTAAGACCGATTTTTAAAGACAAAGAGAAAAATATCGATGAGAAGGAGGCCTTCCGGTGTAGCGGCGCCTCTCTGATAACGCACAAAACTTTTTTTTGGCGGGGGGGGGCATTATTCATTTTAATTAAATCGCAAGCGCCGAGTCGGGCTGCAGTAGGCTCAAGATTCACCCCCAACCCTTGGAAAAATAAAAGATCTTGAAGTCCCTCTTGGTCTGGGTGGTTTGGAACTGGCAGGGAAGGGTGGGGGGCTGCGGCTGGATGCCCCGTGTAATAGAGCCAGCCTGTAGGGGGTATTTAACATTTAATTCCCAGCCGGTCCGCCCCTGTTCCCGGACTGACAGTGGGTAATTGGGAAAGAGGACGTTGCTCTTTTGATGGCCCGCGCCGGCCAGTCTCGCCGACGCCACACTGGGTTTGACGTCACGGGCCCAGCCCCAGAGCCAGGAGCACAGAGCAGGGGGGGAGGGAAAAGGAGAGGAGGGGGATACCGGGGGAGGGAAGGCCGAGGTCGGCCCCGGTACCCAGGGGGAAGGAAGGGGGAAGGGAGCCAGGCCGGAGAGAGGCTGCGGCGCGTGGCCTGAGGCGGAGAGCCTGGCCGCGGGGGTCTGGGCTAGGCCAGGCGCCGGCCTGACCCGCCTCGCCGGCGAATGCAGGCCGGGCTTCCTCCTCCAAGGGAGGGCGGGGGAGGGGAGGGGGCTCGAGGCCCGGCGAAAGGGGGGAAAGGTGGTCCTGAGTCCCCGTCAGCCTTAGCTCGCAAAGCTAATCCTGGCCTCCTGCGGAGACGCCTCAGCGCTCTCCTACAGACCTGAAGGCCCCCCTACCCAGGACCCCGGGCCGGGCCTGGTCTAGCGATTCCCCTCTTCTCCCCGGGAGCGGCCGGCGGAGCTCCGGTGGAGGAAGAGAGGTGGAGACCTGGGAGGATGCCGCCGCCGCCGCCGCCACCGCTGCAGGGCCCCGGGCTCCTGCAGAGCGCGAGGCCTCCCTCACCAGGGTAAGGGGCTGGCCGAGGTCTGGATGCCTGGGCCCCTGGGGGCAAGCATCCCGGAGCCGAGCAGGCGACAGCGCAGCCACCGCCCATCCCCCGCCGCCCGGAGCTGGTACCTGGGCTGTACGTGGGGCGGCTGGAGCGGGTTGGCGTATCTGAAACGCCAGGCCTCGAGGCGGCTGCTTCAGGCGTCAAGTTGAGCGGGGTGTGTGTGCCCTCTTGGGGAAAGGGTAAGAAATGGAGCCTTACTTTCTCTCCTGGGTTGGGGTAAGCTGGGACACACACACACACACCCCAAACACATGCCCCCCTGTTCAGGTCCCTCCCACCCGCCCTCCCCGGAGCTCAGAAGCTCTTTTCGGATGCAAGTGGGGAACCCAGTTCCGCAAAGGAACCGGAGCCCGCGGTGCAGAGGGGAGGAGCGTACCCCCAGGCTCACCCCTGGGGTCTCAGGACCCAGAGAGCGGAGATCCACGCGGCCAGCGTCACCCACCCGAGCCTGGCGACAGGCGCGTCCAGGCGAGCTCCGCGGGGCCGAGGTGCCGGGAGAGCGGCCCCGGGCGCCCGCGCGCTGCCCGCCGAGGGTAACCAGAAAAGCCGAGCCTCGGGGTCGAAGTCATAAAGTTACTAATCCCTCGCAGGGGGAGTGAGCGTGCCTCGGGCCGCCTGGGGCGGTCATTTGAGCGTGTTTACTTAAGGACTTTGCAAGCGGAGCGCGCGCGAAATAGTCGGATTTCCAGCGAGGCAGCAAATATTTGCAGGCGGGAGAAAGAAGCGGAGCCGGGCCGCGCCGCCGCGTCCCTCCCACCGGAGCCGCGGCGCCGGCCTGGGCGGACCCGGCCGCGCAGTTAAAGACAGAAATGAAGCCAGGGACCTGCGGGGCTGGGGGCGGGGAGGGCGCAGAGCCACAGCAAAGGCCAGAAATTGGAGCGCGGCCCCGAGGCTCTGGCGAGCTGGGGCTGGAGGAGAAGTCCCTTCCCATTCCAGCTCGATCAA